CCAAAAAAGTGAATATATTGCAATTCAATTTCTAAATCGTTTAACTAGGACTGAAGCAATTCAATTTATTACAATCATTTTCCAAAAAGTGAATATATTTACTAAACCACATATGCTCAGACTTATTTGAACGGAGGGAGTAATTTCGAAGATAGATTATTTATCTTCCCCATACACGTCTTATCACATCACCCTTTCCCTCTTCTCTTCTCTCTACCAGACTCTTTCCCTCTTCTCTTCTCTCTATATTCTTCGATGAACAAACAAGACTGGAGTGATTTTATAACAGGGATAATTTTATCCCTGATTTCAAATGTCAATTTTCTTTTCTCGGTGGCTGGCTTGTACTTGTGCTGGGTAAGCTGAAAACGGCGGGCGGGGGTGGCGGTGGCCGACGAGGGGTTCTCATTTTGTGCATCACCACCTAGTGAGGCATACGATACCTCTGCTGGGTAACACTCACAATAAATATGTAGTTAAAATACAAATGTAGGATACGAAGTGGATAAAGTCCGATATGCGTATAGCACCAGTCAACTTCATACAATAGATAACCGGTTACAAAAAGTTTTCATACTATTAATAACCGATTATTTCCTCTCTATGTGTTTTTTCCAAATGTAAGAGTTCTCACGAGTGATTACCTTTGAAGTGTCTCAGGACTGTAAACAATTCATTTTATTACAATCATTTTCCAAAAAAGTGAATATATTGCAGTTCAATTTCTAAATCGTTTAACTAGGACTGTAAGCAATTCAATTTATTACAATCATTTTCCAAAAAGTGAATATATTTACTAAACCACATACGCTCAGAGTAACTCTGAAGATAGATTATTTATCTTCCCCATGCACGTCTTATCACATCACCCTTTCCCTCTTCTCTTCTCTCTACCAAACCCTTTACCTCTTCTCTTCTCTCTATATTCTTCGATGAACAAACAAGACATGAGTGATTTTATAACATGGATAATTTTATCCCTGATTTCAAATGTCATTTTTCTTTTCTCGGCGGCTGGCTTGTACTTGTGCTGGGTAAGCTGGAAACGGCGGGCGGGGGTGGCGGTGGCCGACGAGGGGTTCTCCTTTTGTGCATCACCACCTAGTGAGGCATACGATACCTCTGCTGAGTAACACTCACAATGAAGATGTAGTTAAAATACAAATGTTGGATACGAAGAAGATAAAGTTCGATAGTTATTTTTTCCTTTTTTCGAAATACACAAATTCTTGTATGAAACATTTAGAGAAATCATGCTTTGAATATTTATTTTCTCCAACTTTTACTCATTTATTTTATTTAATATTTTAAGTTTGTTGCTCCACCTATTTTGCAGTGTTCATACACAAACAATGAACACCAAACTCCCAACAAATCCAACCATCACCAAGCAGCCGCATTACATATAGTTTGACTAATGTTCAAAATAACTACTCTAAAGTAGGTGAAAAATGAAATTTGGCATGTCCCAACACCTGTGAAAAGGTTGAGAGGCACAAGATTTGACTAATTAATTATAAATAAAGATTAGGCAGACTCGAATTAATTAATTGTAATAAAACTTGTACGACTATACTCATCCTAACCTTCCTATGGAATATTTAAAACATTGATTTAAAATTTAATTAATATAATTCTGGAATTAGGGCCACTGAGGAACTATATAAAACTTTATTAAACAAAATTTCAGGAAAATAACCAACAAACTAATTTTAATTTGCAAAATCCTCCAAAGTAACTATTTTTGGGAATTATTAAAGTACTCGTACAACGCAGTATATTACACGGGCGCTTGTTAAAAAATTTATTGTTAAATTTTTAAAATTAATGAGAAATATTGATTTAAAATATAATTACTTTTTTTACAAAAAATTATGTATTATCATACATTTCAGAATGACAGTTGTTACTTGTGCACTTACATATATTATATTATAGTAAATTTTTCTAAATTATATCATATAACTACTTGAAAACATAAATATATTAATTGATAAACTGTTATTTATTTTTAATTAATATTAAAAAATAATGTTATTATTGTTATGAAGATAAATATAGTTTATTTGTTTTATACATACAATATAGATGTTAAATCGAAACTCATCAATAGATGATTAATTTGATATATTATATATGTAAAACTGATGAAAAATACAAAAAGTTATTAACTTTTACAATAGATTTACAATTTGATGGTTATAATAAAAATAATATTACAATCAATTAATATATGTAACATGACCATAAATAATCAACATATTTATAGATAATCTGAATCCAATTATTATTAGATTGAAAATAAATTAATATCTACACAAGCTAAATAATGAATCGTGTAATTTTACAACGTAGAATTTCGAAACATGCGAGGTTGTCATTTTGACTTTATGTAGGGGGATGGGACCACGTTGTGTGTGGGGCAGGACCCAACCTCCTTGTTGTGGATTGTCTTTTATAGATCCATGAAACTAATTT